GACGACCCCGCGTTCGAAACTTTTACCCATTACGACTGTACTGATTTATATAGGCGCAACGTGTATATTCTATACGTACATACGAAGAAGAAATTACCAACAACTATGATATGGTGTTCGTTATACATTTAATTATTTGTAAAACTAAATTTTATGTTCCTATTAGAATACAAAAAATTTAGTTTAGTTTTACGAATAATTAAATGTTTAATGAAGGCCCGGTTTATTATGACAAAAGATCTATTTCTACAAGAACGCAGACGTATAAAGCGACATTATATGTATATATTTATCTGTTAAGTTATAAAAGCTATTGCAACAATAAAGCCTGTACAAGTAGTCACGTTTTTTTTTACATAAGATTAATTACTTTTGATAATTTATGTTAATAGGCGCAAATGGCACACATTTTTTTGAGACCCTCCCTATTTACGCCAATGGTTATGTTAGTACTATATATGGTAGTATATATTTGGGAACAAACACATTTTGAACGCTTTTGGATGCAAACTGATGTAGTCGTTATCTGTGCAGTGGCGTATTTAGACTTACTTCTAGGGGAGGGGGAAACTCAAATTTTTTCTTTATTTCAGGCTCAAAATTTACAAGTAAATTTTTTGGTAATATTTAAATCAGGTAAATCCTTAATATTTGTAGTTTTTTTTAATTATTTTTAATCTAATGCCGGATTCACTTACAATGGACTTTTGTATAGTTCTTTTTTAACACCTATCTGTGTTTTGAAAGTTTCGCTTGTGTTTTATTTTATTTTTCAATAAGTATGGACCAGGGCTTAAAATAATATAAAATAATATATATTGTTTACCATTATGGGACATTTAAACGTTATAAGCAATTGAGCGTTTAACGCTATAAATAATCTAAACGTTATTCAATTTAAGTGTTTAAACGTTATATATATAAATTTAAACGTTTAAAAAATGTTCCGTTTACCGTTATTGAAAATTAAAACATAATGAACAATTTAGCGTTTTACGTTATTCAAATTTGTGTAAAATTTGAAACGTTTTCAAATGTAGTATTTAGCAATCAATACTATGTAAAATAACATTGCATATTTTAATATTATAATATATATATATGTATATATATATATATATATATATATATATATATATATATATATATATATATATATATATTATATATATTTAACCTTTAACCAGTGGTGTATTGATAAATATATTTGTGGGTATACGCATTTAAAAAATATGGATATTAATCCGAAAATAAATTTTCTTGCTTTGCTCGACAGTTGTTTTCTCTTGATACATTCGAAAAAATGTAACTAATCCTTTGTAACTACATGTTTATAACTTTTATTAAGACTATAAAATATAACACCACAAAATATACATTTGCAGCACCTTATAAATTGTATGATGCAGATTTAAGAACCACGGGCTGAATGTTTACACTTTATACTATTTTATTCAATGTTATTCACTACAGTTAACAAAATACATTAAACACAGCGTACAGTTTAATCTTCAACAGCTTAATATTTCAATCAATCCTATGTTTCATAACAATGTTTTCCAATGAACAATTGAATTATTATTAGTTTTTTTGTTTTCGAGTTATTTTAGAAGCGTATACCCGTAAAATAATATTTTACATTAAATACCTATACGCCGAAAATCGAAAATCTGCTTATGTGTATACGCTGTACATCCGTGTATACGTACCAATATACCCAGTGGCGTGTCATACATGTATGCGATGTGTGCATATACCACGGGCCTTTGGCTAGGAGGGGGGCATTATTGCTCAAAATTACAGAAAAAAAATAATTAAATAAATATAAACATGAAAAAATAACAAGATCGTTCACATGGTTCTCAATTTTATATCAATGTATATATGATATTATTTAACAATATTGGTACTTAGTACATGCTACCTACAATTTATGTTTATCTAAACCATGAAATGAGTTAAAAGACTTATGTAAAATCAAAAAATTAAATATAGTGTATAAAATACATACAATAAAAATATGTTTTAACTGGTAAGGGGGAGGGGTGTCAGAATTTTGGTAATAATAAATATATTATATTGCCCCCTCCCCCTAGGTTTTTCCCTGTTACACCACTGCTAAATACATATTTATATTATATATATTTTTAGAAAGTATCTTATAGTTTTACAGTGATTTTTATTTTTCCTTTTTATTCTGTAAACACTTTTTTTCGGATTAAAATACTGGGGTCCAAGGTTTCATTTAGACATTTTTTAGATTTGAAATAGTCGTAGTATTTTAAAGAAGTTATTTTCCAAAAATCTCAATAGTATTTCCATGTATAAAGAAAATCTACCGAAAATCCCAATAAAAACTGTAAAATGCGCTGTAAATGTAACTTTCAATTTTCAGATATTGGATATTTAGTCATAACTCTAAAATAAATTTGGCTGAAAACTTGAAGTATTTACTTTATATCAAAAACAATTTTTTTTCATATTTAACAACATTTTTAAAACACGAGTAGTTAAGTACTTTTAGTTTAAATATAGAACTATTAAAATACTGATTTTTTTTTAAAAATTTTTAAGCAATAAAATTTTTATTTTTAGTTATTTTGACTTAAAAATGTAATATTACCATATTCATACACAGAAAAAAATTAAAAAAAAACGTTATTAAGGATTTTATTTTAGAAGCCTTTAAGTAAATTATTATACGATTTTTACAAAATGTACCGTCTTTAAATTATTGTTAAACTTTAAATATTTATTATACAAAATTAGTCCATCCAATAATAATACAATTCTGAATATAGATAAAACAACAACTTTTTAATCTTATGCTATCTTTTATCTTACCCATTACCATTATCCAGTTCAAGGACTGAAAGGACGAACAACAAAATTCCCCCAACATTATCTTACTGGCTATTTAATTGTTGTAATGTTTACTTATTGTTAATTCAATTTGGTATATTTCTGAGAATATATATGAGAGTATGTTGAAGTAGTGTATATTTGATAGTTAATCGCCAATAACCCAAAGGTCGTAGAACAAATGAATATTTAGAAAAATTACTAGAATAATGAATTTGTTGTTATCATGCAATATGAGAAAACTGTTACTGATTTATAAATTAATTTCTATAACATATTTTATATGGCATGAATATTATAGGGATGTTTTCGCAATTATTAGCAATAATATAGCAAAAAAAAAGTCTAATTAATTATTTTTCTATTTTATATTGATGTTTTTCATCAAAGGATTTAATCTAATTCGTATTTCTGATACTTTATAGAGTATTTTTTGTGTATTTTTCTATATTTATGTGTATTGCTTACATTCAAGTTTGGCATTGATTATCTTATATCTTGGTAAGATTTTATGTACTTGGTGCTAGTCTTTTATAACCATCTTATTGCTATACTAAATAATACATTCTTCATCTTCATTGTTAGTAGTTTCCACGTGGGGAGTTAGAGTAATTGGCTTTGGTTGTATTCATTGAGTAGATGGATTTATTTTTTAAAGCAACTATATTTTATGGGTGATGTGATTCTGAATTATTATTTACTTAATGTTAGTTAACTTTTCCTTTTACTATTGATTATGATTGGGTAACGTATGTTCAAAAGTACTAGATTAACATTTAATTTTAGATACTCACTATTTAAGAAAAAAATAAGGTCAAATCATATTTATATTGATAATATAGATATTTCCAACTTCCTCTCGAGTGATTATCCACTCACCCACTATTTACCTTTATTAATTCATTGAAAATCAAAATTGATAATGAAATTAATGGTCGACAACTTCATTAGTAGTAGGGTGAACGGTCATTGCAATTTTACGTTTGAAGCTTAAATTAAATTTACACGCACGATTCGTACATTTGAATATATGTACGCCAAAGAGTTTATTAATATTCCCGTTATTGAACGATGCCATGAAAATATGAACTACCACATAACTTTACAGAACGAGAAAATTATAATATATTATACGCAGGTACTATTCGTATGGACATGCTTAATTATGACCTATCACAGAGAGCCAATTATGCAATGAAAATGATCATAAAGACTCACGACGAAAAAAAAAATACCTATGTTGACACTTACTGATATATACAAAAGTCGGTCATGATGGTTACGATATATAGTTAGTGGCCTGGCGATATGATCCAGCGCAGTTATAGCGTATCTATCATGCGCGCCACGATCATTTTCCTGACTAGTAATATGGCGAGTAACAAGAAGTCATTTGGGTGATAGATACGAATCTGATAGATTTTGATTTATTAAGAAAACACAAGTACTTATAAAAAAAAATAATTACTCATATCGGTTATTCAGTGCCAATAGAAATTGTTACCACACTATTTTATGCCTATCGCTATAAAATTTTTTGGTAAAACTTTTTAATATAATGTAATTTCTCATATATTTTCATCAATTTTTACTAATTGAAAATTAATTTTCAGATGTTTGTCCGTTTGAGTTGTTGGATACAAAATTATAATCTATAATCGGTTATAAATTTTATTATATACTTTATGTATATGAATTTAATGTTTTGTTTAAAGATATCAATTTATTCAATATGTATTTGTTAAAATTGACCGTGATCATTGGCATAAAATTATAATACAGTCACTGTGGTTGAAAGTTGAAAATCATTATATCTATGAATTTGATGGAAATTCTTAAACTATTTAGATGTGAGGGTGCAACTAAGGTTGATTAGACTTTGCGTGTCTTGAGTTGATTTTGGAAATCTTTAAATCATTTTCTATAAAAATATTGAACATATTTTCCAACATTTAATAAAACATTTTTTTTTTTTTTAATTTATGGCTAGTTTTTTGATTTTGACCAATTACAGTCATAAATAATAAAAATAAAGTGCACGGTTAGGGAAATATTTAAGTTTTTTTTACCATTTCAGCTCATTGTCAGCTCAAAATGTAACAATAAATGTATATTAATACTTTATTTTTATTTTTCAGGTAAATCAACGTTAAACAGTTTTGATGCAGTCGTCGTCAGTTCAAATAAGCACTCTAGTTATGACAATACATTTACCAAGGAAAAACTAAAAATAATGAAAATAAGGAAGAGTGTTTGGAGTACCTTGGGTACTAAAAACAATTGAGATAAACATCGGTGTACGCGTCCAAATGAAGAATAATAATAAGAAAAAATACTAAATGTACCGCTGAGAAACCGTAATTAACGGTAAGAACAGTAAAACGAATCGATTTTTTTATTTTTCATGTTGCTGTAAAATAAAATCAAAGGTATGCTCTTAATAGAATTGTGAACACTACGGTTTGGATGGAGTCTATAAATGAGATATTATGAGATGTTTCAATTACCCATCTCCTAATTAGGTTTTTCAAATATACAGGTAAAATGGTGTTCGGAGAAGAGAAGGATTTATACTTTCTTTTTATTAAAATATTGGAAGATATTGATTAGATTATGTAATCAGGTTTATTTGGAAACACTTTTGCTCGTTGTTTAGTATAAAAAATGGTTATTAACAATAATCTAACCGTCGCGACGACGGGAATTTATGGATCATGACTTTAAAAAAGACTTAAGAGATTAAAATATTCTACTTCAAATGAAAAAGTACAGGGTGAAAACGGGAATCTGAATTGCGTCCCGGAGGTGAAACAACTACGTTCAAATTCTATTGTGTGTTCTCTACTACTATAACAATGGTAGTAACTATTATAACTAAGGTAACATGACAAATGTAGCGCACTGGTAAAGTTTCTTTTCACGTTTTCTCCAGGCTTAGGACTGGCATATTTTAAAATATATTTTAGATTGAGAGTTAAACGGGGAATGTATTAGTTTTACTAATATGCCTGTTTTTTTTTTTTTTAATAATTTTCTAGTATAAATTTTTTTTTAGAGACTTTATAAACATTTAATAAAATTACAATCACGGCTATAATGTATAAGATTATATTTTAGATTTTCGGAAATAGGCTGGTAACAACTTAAACAAAACCTGACACACAAATTGGTATCAATTTCAATTACCACTTTACCAAAGCATAATTTCATCATTCAAAAACTGTTCTTTCTCTAATGTTATTTTTGATTTTAGCAAAGTACTCCAAATTTTTTTATAAATTTCAGTTTGTATGTCCTTTAAAGCTTCTGTAAATTTATAAATATATTTGATTTTGAAGTATAAAAATAATTATTGAATCTTTAATGAAATGACTCGCAGTGGTTTGTTGCACGGGATACAGACAATGGCGTAACTATAAATTTGGGTCCCCGGAGCAGTATCAAGTGTTGGCCCCCATATATTTATATTACCAAAATTAAAAAAAAAAAAAAAATAACAGTCATTACTTATTATAAATATAATTTATTTACGTCATATGTACAAAACTGTCAAAATTACAAAATAGCCATTCAAAATTTTTTTTTCTAGCTTTCATCTCAAAAAATGTTTTTATCAGTTATTTAGTGTCCATTTATTCTGATTCGTTGGATTCTATGGCTAAGACTGCTAAATCAATGAGGCGTTCTTGTTCTTGGGTGCTTCTTAAGTAATTTTTTATTAATTTTAACTTTGAGAATGATCGTTCGGCATTGGCTGATGTTACTGGTAATGTTAAAAATAATATTAAAGTGGTTGCTACTTCTGGAACACTTGAAGTTAGTAATGGTTGTTTTATTAAGAACTCTAAAAATTCCTTTATCGAGTTTAACTTGGTTAACTTTTCTTTTATAGTAGTCATTGAAACTAGCATAACTAATTGTAGGGGGAGTTCAGCTTATAAATTGTTACTATATTTTAATTGTAACTTTTGTGAATATTCCATTATATATTTTTCTGGAAGAGAAATTAATACACTAAGGCTCAAAAAATTAAATAAATTACATATTTCATTCATTCTTACAAAACGGTTATGAAGTTGACAACAAACGACATCCAAAACTTTAAAGAACACGTTAACTTTGAATGAATGTTCATTATTTTCAAACCTAAAATCTTGAGCAAGTTCGTCAAAATGGTTTTTTTGTAATTTTTCTTCTTTTATTAGAAAATTCTGGGTTGACATTCTATTTATTAGCAATATTTAGAGCACTAGCTTTTACGTTTTCATGTTCATTTCTAAATTTTTCTAAATTATTTTTAGCATTTTTTAAATTGTCTTTAGCCTTTAAAAGATCCACGTTTTTTGACTGTAGGAGTTTTAATTTTAATTTAGTATTCAAAGATTTGTTTTGTTTTCATTGGTCATATACAAAACAAGATATTAAATGTGACTTTGAATTTTCATGTTGAGAAATATTTTGTGATAAATGTTTCCAGTCTCTTATATCACGGTTATGCCACAGATCTTGACTTATATTTGAAAAAAGCCAATATGGTTCACAATAAACTGCGTTCAATTTTAATGAATAACATAACCAAGCCTGTTCAATAAAACCCTGCCTAGTTTATCTTAGGTAATAAACTGTAGAAAATTTTCTGTTATTTTGAACTGAATCTCGAGGAAACGGATCACTTGGTCTACATGATGGAGAAAATATTATCACAGTTTTTAAATGATCTGTTAAAGTTTTTCTTTGAAAACTACCTATATCTGTATTCTCTAAAATCAGTAATTGTGGTTTTAGTAAATCTATTTCAAAGCTTTCTTATTCATTCGCAATATTCACATTTTCAGTATTTATTAAATTGACATTTGTATTAAAAATTATTGGTTCATTATTGTCAATATTATCCATTAGTGGTTTTTCATTGACACTTTCAGTTGGATGGTCATCTAAATTTGTAACTTTGTGCCTTAAATTAGTAGAAATTTCTGGGCCAATTTTCTCAACAATTTCTTTATTAGTAACTTTTTAGAAACTAGTAATTTTAGGAAGTTTTGCTTTAGATTTTTCAATTTTTTTTTTTTGTTTTCGTTTTTTGGCTGCTCCACGCGTACTGCTTAACATTTTGATTTCATCTTCCTCTTCCATGATTAGGTATAGTCGACAGTTATATTGTTATTATTTATATAATTTTCGTAATTATTTAAACAAAAATAATACAATATATCGAAAATAATAAATTAAAAATAAACTATAAACAATACATTTTTAAGCAAAAATTAAAGTGTTTCCAATCTTTTTAAACATACGGTATAACAATTATTGCAAATTACTTGTTCTATGTCAGTAGCCTCGACAATTCGACAGTCGAATGTAAAATGCTGTGTAGAATGTAGATGGAAAAATCGAAAAACAGACGATGTTTATATTAATATCACGATAATAATAACTATATTATCGTACGATTACAGTTAGTGATTAGTGGTTAATTTATGCGTATTGTGTATGTTGTGCGAGTGGTACCTACAACAATCGTCATTTTTATCGCATAATAATTATAGATTCAGGATTCTATACACCCATCACGATATTAATATAAACATCATCTGTTTTTAAATAATATAATATGATAGGTATGTTTTGGCTGTTTAGTTGTACTTTTTTCTGTCTCGATAACAGTACCTGTCTCGTCAATTTTAAAATAAAATTCAAATATTTGTTATATAATTTTTGAATAATACAAATTGTATTTACGAGGGTCAAGGGCCCTTCCGGGGTTCCCCAAGTCTAGGGCCCCGGGGTATTGCCATGCCTTGCCATCCTGTAGTTACGCCACTGGATATAGAAGATGAATAGTCTGTCCAAACAGAAGGAAATAGAGCATCCTCTGAAATATATGTGTCCAGCAAATAGTCACAGAACTTTGTTACCTGCCATGATTTGGTTTAATCGAAAGAAAATCGAATACATAGAATCACTAACTGCATTAGGAGGTAAAAGTGGCAACCCAAGAAACGATCTTAGAATAATACTTAATTGTGAATCATATTTGCGGAATTCTATGCATAATCCCGAAATCTGTATTTTACTCCACTAGCTTTGGCCCAGATAAAAATGACAACCAATTACCGAAATGTAAGGAAAAATAGTCTTAATTGCAATACGAATTGTCGGTTCGAAGTCAACACGTATACTACCGGGAGCAATATTTAAATTCAAAAATTTACATTTTTCTAAGAAATAAAAAAACGCCCGATCATAAGATATTTTTAACTTATTTGGAAACAGCAAGAACATCAAAGATGTAAAAATATTATTAGATAGCCCATGGATTGCAAAAACTTACAGATAAGGGTTTGGACAGCTGTATAATGTTCCATCGGCCGTGACTGTTAAACATTCATTCAAATTTGTTTTATATTTTTCTTAGTTGAAAAACATACAATATTGTTATCAACATCGTTATGAAGTAAACAAGACTCATTTTCGTTTGTCTGTAATTTCATGTCGTTCAGTGTATTATGAAATTCTAAAAAAGTATTTGGTAGTTTCAATAAGTTAGTAGGTCTAGCGCGTCCAATGTTTTTCCTAATCAATGTAACATCTTGAATAGTGAGATTAGGGGAATCGGATTTTTGTAACTCCGTCTGGAGAAGTTTTGAAAGTTAGACAGAGGGATTGTCAACTGTTTTTCGTTTTATTGGATTTTTTGCTTTTTGTAGATTTTTGCCTATTGTCTTTTTCATAGCTATGAATCAAAAAAGGATCACTTAAACCTGGGCCCGTTTCATCAATTTTCAAAAAAACATTTACAGGTTTTATGAGTACTGCACACCCACCTAACCACATTATTTTCTAACGGTTTCTGTCAACGAAATTTTGCACCTTCTACGATTATAAAAGGATTGCCTTTTTCATCAACCACCGTTTCATATGGAATACCTACCATATTGGAATAATGAAAAAACAGATAAATAAAAAAGTGTCTTCAAAACTGCTGAATAATAATCGATGCATACATGCGTGAACTGCTGAAGAACAACTGACTGCACTCAACGAAAAATGCCGACATCGACCATTGGCATTCTTGTAGTGAATGTGGTATAAATCAATATAATACATAGATGGAAACTTCCATTAATGAATAATTCCCTATCTATAAATACAATGTTATCAAATTGATAAGTAATTTATGGGGTCATTATCGCCGAGACGCATTTACCATGGATACCATGTGTATTGATTATTATCATAAAACTTCGAATTTTCCATTTCATATCAGCTACTTTTATTAATTATGTCATCGGTCATTATTGAATATCTAAAACTTTTCGTTAAATTGCAGTAATTCAATACATTTTGGACATATAAAGTTTATCGAA